GAAGATCGCGTCTTGCTTGGGGGAGGCCCACGGTTTGCTTTTGCTTAACAACGGTACTCGTGATGAAAACATAGTCGATGATTGATTGATTGATTGATTGATTGATTTGATTAACAATTTGTAAATGGTTCACATCCATCTATTTAAAAAACGTATCACCACGACTAACCTAAATTTATAAAAACAAACCTACATTTATATTAGGAAAAATAAAAAAAGTATTTCTATGACGTAAGAAGAGATTTACATTTCGGCTTTCTGATGTTCGAGTTACGCAGTTAAATTAACAACAGATGTACGTAACAGGACACCCACCAGCCCCACTAATTTGAGGTCTGTAAAGAGATCATGTCGCAAATTGGATATGGTATTTCGTATGGATCTACATCTCGACATTTTGACGACGACATCACACCATCGGTCAATTCCTTGGTCTGCCTGGACACCTCGCACATCCTCTCAGATGGAAATTTAAGGTATAGATCGTGGAATTCAAAAGAAATCGAAGAAAAATTAAAAATAAAGGTAAATAAAGGGTGCATTCATTTCGTCATCTTGCTTCACCTATCGTATCGTCATGATTTAATCTTACGCCTGAACTAAAATCCGAAACTTAGAACAAACAAATAAATAAACAAATGGATAAGAAAGATAAATAAATAAATAAAGAATAGTTAAGTAGTTAAGATAAATTTGTAAATCGATACGTAAATGCTTACATGCGTGTAGAATTTTGAACATAAACTAAACCTGAAATTCTCCAAAAAAAAAACCTCATACAGTATATGCAATATACAGTATGTATTGTATATAATAGTTTGGAGAGCGCACCGCAAGATCAAAGTACGGTCCCAGCCTAACTTCGTGTCCATGCCAGCGCCTGGGTAATTTCAACGAAAGGTATCACGCCGAAAGTTCTGGCAAATAGAATAAGATGATGATGCGTTCAGGCATGTACATACACTTTCATCCATTCACGCTTTGTGCTATATTACGAAAGTATGATGCAAAATGGAAACAATTTTAGCTTGCATGGAAAGGTCATCAAACTCCAAGTGCGTGTGAGTCGTGCGTGCATAAGCAATGGAAATTCTCTTTTGGACATCCAGATGAATAAACAATAACCTTAAAATTATTTGGATCGATAGCTGTGTTTGACAAGGAAAGGCGGATGTGAAAATTTTCTCGCATAGAAGGTAGCATTGCTGAATTGTAATATTTGTTGGTGTGAGAAACACCGGTGTAACAAGTTTCCTAAAAATTTTTTGTACCGGCGTACCTGCCAAATTCTCCAAACTCTATGCCTAAAGCTCTGCTAACATTATTTCACCTAACAATCCTAGACTAATCTCAAAATTACACGGATGCATCCTATTAGGGTCATGGAGGAAATTATATCATGCCGTACGTAATGAGGCAGGAAGATCATGATTAAAAAGAAGAAAAGTTAACGCCCTCCACGTACTGTGTGATAGGTGAGCAGGCAAGTTCTTTCTTAGGACGTTTTCCTACGTCAAGAGCCATCCAATCACCTTCTCTCTGAGATCCTGCAAATGTGTGTGGCAGTGTACACTTGAACGGCATTAATTTCTGCACCGGGTCGACGAGGTTTCCGTATGATTTCTGTCTGACACATCATTTATTCATATTGTACTAAGATGGTATGTTTTTTATGTAAGAGATATCATAGTGCAAAGAATGTTTGTAACACAAGGCTTCATACTACACCACAAAAAGATGACTAACTGATTATGGCAGGGGTACGGCATTCCCCCCTACTTATCCAGTATTTGTTGGTATTTGGCGACTTTTTTTTTCTTTTAATGAAAACAATGATCACGTTAGTCTTCACGTTTTTAAGCCACGAAACAACAAAGGTGAAGTGTCTATAGCACCGTGAAAAAATGTAAACAAGAAACACAGAATGACACGAGATCAAAACAATGAGCGCTAATAAATTATTATTACTGCCGTGCATATCGTATCCATGCACGTGACTCTTATCGTAATTTAAAAACTCAAGTCTCACGCGCCAGACGCTTCAATCCCCATTTGGTGTGTGTACGCGCTTGTGTGTGCGCATTTTTATGATGGTATCCCCAAGGGGGGCTCCGTATTTATATGCATGTGACATCTGGGAGGGTAGCATTCAGAAAGTTCAGAAAAAAAACGAGCGAACACGAAAATCGACCTAACCCCACCGAGAAGCAGAAATCTTGTTTGAGGGAGGTAATCATATTTACCATCGTTACACGAATGATGATCTCTGTTGACCTTTATTCGGATGGATGGATGTTCACATAATTTCGTAATTTATTAATGCAGTTTTTTTTTATCAAAAATGGCTATCGCCGTATACTAGACCTTACCATTAATATGTTTATCACATAATTAATATATAATCCGTGATTTTCCTACAGTTTACATAGATAAGAATTATTGGAGGAATATAAACGTTCTGAACCAATTATCGACGTGCAAAAAATTTCGGAGAAAAGCATGCATCCCCTTCCGGAGTGATTAAGATAGCTAACTGCA